GTTAATTCTTCGCTTATGGCTTAAGGTGTGTACTTGTTCCAAGATTTGTTCCTTTCGATTGTCTTCTCAACATCCTTTGTTGAGATTGTCGAGTCTCGTAAAATTCCTTGGCTGTCCATAATCCTTATAATCAGTCTTTGTGGTCTTTAATCCTTAATTGGTTCTTTGGGTCTTAAGCTCTTCTTCTCTCGGTATCTTCCTTAATCCTTGTAACATCCCTTGGTCGTTCATAATCCTTGTAATTAGCCCTTGTGGCCGTTAGTTCTTCGCTTATGGCTTAAGGTGTGTACTTGTTCCAAGATTTGTTCCTTTTGATTGTCTTTTTAACAACCTTTGTTGAGATTGTCGAGTCTTGTAAAATTCCTTGGTTGTCCATAATCTTTCTAATCAGTCTTTAGTCCTTGATTGGTTCTTTGGGTCTTAAGCTCTTCTTCTCTCAGTATCTTCCTTAATCCTCGTCACATCCCTTGGTCGTTCATAATCCTTGTAATTAGCCCTTGTGGCCGTTAATTCTTCGCTTATGGCTTAAGGTGTGTACTTGTTCCAAGATTTGTTCCTTTCGATTGTCTTCTCAACATCCTTTGTTGAGATTGTCGAGTCTCGTAAAATTCCTTGGCTGTCCATAATCCTTATAATCAGTCTTTGTGGTCTTTAATCCTTAATTGGTTCTTTGGGTCTTAAGCTCTTCTTCTCTCGATATATCTTCCTTAATCCTTGTAACATCCCTTGGTCGTTCATAATCCTTGTAATTAGCCCTTGTGGCCGTTAGTTCTTCGCTTATGGCTTAAGGTGTGTACTTGTTCAAAGATTTGTTCCTTTTGATTGTCTTTTTAACAACCTTTGTTGAGATTGTCGAGTCTTGTAAAATTCCTTGGTTGTCCATAATCTTTCTAATCAGTCTTTAGTCCTTGATTGGTTCTTTGGGTCTTAAGCTCTTCTTCTCTCAGTATCTTCCTTAATCCTCGTCACATCCCTTGGTCGTTCATAATCCTTGTAATTAGCCCTTGTGGCCGTTAATTCTTCGCTTATGGCTTAAGGTGTGTACTTGTTCCAAGATTTGTTCCTTTCGATTGTCTTCTCAACATCCTTTGTTGAGATTGTCGAGTCTCGTAAAATTCCTTGGCTGTCCATAATCCTTATAATCAGTCTTTGTGGTCTTTAATCCTTAATTAGTTCTTTGGGTCTTAAGCTCTTCTTCTCTCGGTATCTTCCTTAATCCTCGTCACATCCCTTGGTCGTTCATAATCCTTGTAATTAGCCCTTGTGGCCGTTAATTCTTCGCTTATGGCTTAAGGTGTGTACTTGTTCCAAGATTTGTTCCTTTCGATTGTCTTCTCAACATCCTTTGTTGAGATTGTCGAGTCTTGTAAAATTCCTTGGTTGTCCATAATCTTTCTAATCAGTCTTTAGTCCTTGATTGGTTCTTTGGGTCTTAAGCTCTTCTTCTCTCGGTATCTTCCTTAATCCTCGTCACATCCCTTGGTCGTTCATAATCCTTGTAATTAGCCCTTGTGGCCGTTAATTCTTTGCTTATGGCTTAAGGTGTGTACTTGTTCCAAGATTTGTTCCTTTCGATTGTCTTCTCAACATCCTTTGTTGAGATTGTCGAGTCTCGTAAAATTCCTTGGCTGTCCATAATCCTTATAATCAGTCTTTGTGGTCTTTAATCCTTAATTGGTTCTTTGGGTCTTAAGCTCTTCTTCTCTCGATATCTTCCTTAATCCTTGTAACATCCCTTGGTCGTTCATAATCCTTGTAATTAGCCCTTGTGGCCGTTAGTTCTTCGCTTATGGCTTAAGGTGTGTACTTGTTCCAAGATTTGTTCCTTTTGATTGTCTTTTTAACAACCTTTGTTGAGATTGTCGAGTCTTGTAAAATTCCTTGGTTGTCCATAATCTTTCTAATCAGTCTTTAGTCCTTGATTGGTTCTTTGGGTCTTAAGCTCTTCTTCTCTCGGTATCTTCCTTAATCCTCGTCACATCCCTTGGTCGTTCATAATCCTTGTAATTAGCCCTTGTGGCCGTTAATTCTTTGCTTATGGCTTAAGGTGTGTACTTGTTCCAAGATTTGTTCCTTTCGATTGTCTTCTCAACATCCTTTGTTGAGATTGTCGAGTCTCGTAAAATTCCTTGGCTGTCCATAATCCTTATAATCAGTCTTTGTGGTCTTTAATCCTTAATTGGTTCTTTGGGTCTTAAGCTCTTCTTCTCTCGATATCTTCCTTAATCCTTGTAACATCCCTTGGTCGTTCATAATCCTTGTAATTAGCCCTTGTGGCCGTTAGTTCTTCGCTTATGGCTTAAGGTGTGTACTTGTTCCAAGATTTGTTCCTTTCGATTAGCATCTCAACATCCTTTGTTGAGATTGTCGAGTCTCGTAAAATTCCTTGGCTGTCCATAATTCTTATAATCAGTCTTTGTGGTCTTTAGTCCTTAATTGGTTCTTTGAGTCTTAAGCTCTTCTTCTCTCGGTATCTTCCTTAATCCTTGTAACATCCCTTGGTCGTTCATAATCCTTGTAATTAGCCTTGTGGCCGTTAGTTCTTAGCTTATGGCTTAAGGTGTGTACTTGTTCCAAGATTTGTTCCTTTCGATTAGCATCTCAACATCCTTTGTTGAGATTGTCGAGTCTCGTAAAAGTCCTTGGCTGTCCATAATCCTTATAATCAGTCTTTGTGGTCTTTAGTCCTTAATTGGTTCTTTGAGTCTTAAGCTCTTCTTCTCTCGGTATCTTCCTTAATCCTTTTAACAGCCCTTGGTCGTCCATACTTCTTGTAATTAGCCCTTGTGGCCGTTAGATCTTAGCTTATGGCTTAAGGTGTGTACTTGTTCCAAGATTTGTTGCTTTCGATTGTCTTCTCAACATCCTTTCTTGAGATTGTCGAGTCCTGTAAAATTCCTTGGCTGTCCATAATCTTTATAATCAATCTTTAGTCCTTGATTAGTTCTTTGGGTCTTAAGCTCTTCTTTTCTCGGTATCTTCCTTAATCCTTATGACATCCCTTGGTCGTCCATAATCCTTATAATCAGCCCTTGTAGCTGTTAGTTCTTAACTTATGGCTTAAGGTGTGTACTTGTTCCAAGATTTGTTCCTTTCGATTGTCTTCTCAACATCCGTTGTTTTGATTGTCAAGTGTTGTAAAATTCATTGGCTGTCCATAATCCTTATAATCGGTCTTTGTGGTCTTTAGTCCTTAATTGGTTCTTTGGGTCTTAAGCTCTTCTTCTCTCGGTATCTTCCTTAATCCTTGTAACATCCCTTGGTCGTCCATTATCCTTATAATCAGCTCTTGTGGCTGTTATCTTCCTTAATCCTTGTAACATCCCTTGGTCGTCCATTATCCTTATAATCAGCTCTTGTGGCTGTTAGTTCTTAACTTATGTCTTGAGGCGTGTACTTGTTCCAAGATTTGTTCCGTTCGATTGTCTTCTCAACAACCTTTGTTGTGATTGTCAGGTCTTATATTAGATGTTTTTTTTTTCCTTTTTGTACAACATGGTTCTTTGGGTCTTAAGTTTTTTTCTTGGTATTACCAGCCTTTCCTTAATCCTTGTAACTACCCTTGGCCTTTCATAATCCTTACAATTAGCCCTTGTAGCCTTTAGTTTTTAACTTATGCCCTAAGACATTTTCTTGTTCCGGCATTTGTTCATTTTGACTATCTTCTCACATTTGTTCCTCCTTTTGAGTGTCTTCTCAACATCCTTCGTTGAGATTGACAAGTCTTCCTTGGTCAACCTTGCGTTTCCTTATATCGTAGAGCTTTTCATCTTTCAATGTCGTATCTTGCATGTTCCATCTTGTACAAGGTGGGTTTTTATAGTTCTCAAGTTCTTCCTTTCTTGGTATTACAAGACCTTCCTTAATCTTGTAACTACCTTTGGCCTTCCATAATCTTTATGATTAACCCTTGTAGTATTTAGTTCTTAACTTATGCCTTAAGGCGTTTTCTAGTTCCAGCATTTGTTTCTTTCGAGTGTCTTCTCAACATCCTTTGTTGAGATTGACAAGTCTTCCTTGGTCATCCTTGTGTTTCGTTATATCTCATAGAACTTATCATCTTTACGTTCAACAAACCTTGACATAATCAAGGTTGTTCCTTCAAGGTCGTATCTTAGATGTTCCTTTTGTTTCTTATTGTACAAGACTAGTTCTTTGAGTCTTATGATCTTTTCTTGATTTTACAAGCTTAATCCTTGACCCTCTGATGGATAATGAGAATAAAATTGTTATATTGATGACGTGGCAATGAAACATTGGAGAAAGCCTAGTCATAAGCCAAACAAACAAAATGAGGGGGGGGATGAAACTGAAATGGAGAGGAAAGGACAAACTCAGAGTGCTCTCTATGCCCTAGCCTTCCCTTCCACATGCCCGGATGAGTCTACACCAGCCCTAATTTTCCCCCCCTTTCTCCTATTTTTCTCTTTCTTCACCTCGCCATCCCTTCCACATGCCCAGATGAGTCTGCACCAGCCCTAATTTTCCACCCCTTTCTCCTATTTTTCTCTTTCTTCACCTCACCACTCATCATTTCCTCTTATTCTTCAGAATTTTGTTTCTCTTATGCTGATTGTGGAGTATGTAATGATCAATGATGTGCTCTTAGTTGTTTGATTTGAAATGGGATTCTTTGATCATCGAGTTTTACCTTATCTCTTTGAAAATTGGAATGTTGAGATAGATTCATGGGGTTCATTATAGTTACATGGCTTTTCACTCGGTTTCACTAACTACCTAAAACACTCATAAAATAGAAAAACGTAATTTAATTTCTTACTCATGTACTTTTTCAACTTTAACATTCTAATCGTTTACTCTTGAACCAAAAACATGATAGCAGTTGAACACAAGGAACATCAAATAGAAAAAAAAGATATAATAAAGATTAAATATAGGAATCTAACATTATTAGGACCACAACGTTGCCAATAACATAATTCTCATGAGATCTAGGCAACACATAAGGTAGTTTATGATTCAAATAGAAAATTTCTTACGTGATGGAGTGTTGAATGTAGCAATCAGAGTTTGATTCTTTGACCTCAACTTCTTTATCTTCATCTATGTCCTCGATTTCCATCTGAAATTTTCATAACATGGTTATTAATCAAAATCTTCTCCAATAGCAAATGAAATATGAACAATAATGTCAAACCAATGAGATACCAATAATTTGAAACCATTAAAAGTGAACATTAATTATTTTTGTTAAAGTTTGACCGGTAAATAGAATGATAAAAGTTTTGTAAAAGTAAATGGCTTACCTTAGTGGGCTGTGTGGTTATATTTCATGCATCCCTAATTGTTTACAAAAAAACTTTACATGAATCGGACCATCCTGCCTGATATTATTAATGAAAAAAATAATTAGGCATTGATCTCCAATTCAAACAAATCATTAAGTTAAACAAAGAAAGTACCTTCGATTTCAACTCCAATTGATTGCCATCATTGCCCTTGACTCAAATCAGTCTCAAAAATTGATCCAGGCACTAGTATATATCTCATATCGTTCATCATGATGACCCTAGAGGAATGTTCATAAGAGAAAATTCAGAATCCAAAAGCTCATTCTCAAAAACTCAAGTGGTTGAAAAGCAAAATGATTCAGTAATAAATTTCATCAATCATAAAATATAACTTGTTTGAAAATCTTAAATGTATTTTTTCCATAATGTAAGTGTGTGCACAAAATGCATGTAACAACAAGATAACCTCAACCTCGATCTCAAATGTGTTGGCTAGCTTTGAAACAAACACTCAACTCAACTATGAGCGCCTTACAACTAATTAGTCCAGAAATGGTAGTAAAACCCTTCATTTATGCTGAAATCACATGCAAATTATAAAAAATAAAAATAAAAATAAAAATAAAAATAAAAAAAAGTGCACAGCCTTGGGCTTGGAATCATACCAGTATAAACGACAATTATAAAAACTAAAAATAAAACTTATAAACAACAATTACTTCATACGACCCCAAAAACTTAAATTCAACTTCAATGCCTTGGGCTTGGAATCATACCAGTATTCCTAGCAGATGCGAAAATCCCACCGGCCTGAATTGACAGGACCAACTGTTTTTCTTTTGCCCAAGCAATCCCTAAATCAAGAGCAACTGCTTTGTTCTTCCCCACTCTGTTATCGGAACCAATCTCAATCGTCGTTCTCTTCTCTTCTGCCAACAAATAAATTTGAATATCAGGTTTGTCCCCTGGCTCCCCACACAGAGAAGAGATAGAAGATGACGGGGAATGAAACGAAGAGTCCAAAATCGACTAAAAACGCCTAATTCTCCGTAATCGAAACCACGGAAAATACAGAAGGTGTTGATAACAGGCAAAAAAAAAAAAGAACAATTGTTTGATTAACCTCTGAAGTTCTCCACATTAAACTCTTAAATCGGAATAGTCGGCTGTGCCCTTAAAATTTCAACCCAGAACAGAGTAGTCAAGTCGAAACTACCCATAAAATTAAGGGCCGAGATGAAGTTGCATTACCTCTATTTTTCATCACCGGGACGAGGCGAGAAACTTCTTTCGATTCTGCTCTCTCTTCCTCCGATAGCCTGGTAATGATCGAGCGTCTGATTTCGGCCTCAATGACAGGACCAACTGGTCTTCTTTTGCCCAAGCAATCACTTCATCAAGAGTAACTGCTTTGTTCCTCCCCACTCTGTTACCGGAACCAATCTCAACGACATTAGAGTTCGCCGTTCTCTTCTCTTCTGCCAACACATAAATTTGAATATCAGGTTTGTTCCCTGGCTCCCACACAGAAGAAATAGAAGATGATGTGGAATGAAACGAAGAATCCAAGACAATAATCACGTTACCATGGGAACGAAAAATGAACCTACTAAAAACGCCCTAATCCTCCATAATCGAAACCACGAAAAATACAAAAGGTGTCGATAACAGGCAAAAAAGAAAAAGAACGATCCGATCCTTCGATTAACCTCTGAAGTTGCTCGAGTGAACCCTAAATCAGAATAACCTCTGAATTTCTCCAATAAACTCCTAAATCGGAATAGCCGACTGTGCCTTTAAAATTTCAACACAGAACAGAGTATTCAAGACCAAATTACCCATAAAACTAAAGGCTGAAATCAAATTACATTACCTCTACTTTTCATCACCGAGATCAGGCGAGAAACTCCTTTCGATTCTGCTCTCTCTTCCTCCGATTGCTTGGTAATTATCCAGAGTTTGAATTCGGCAACTGACGTTCAGAAGGGAAGAGGCCGTGGATGGAGCGCTCTGATTCTAGTGTGAGAATGTCCTGAAGAAGAGTGTGAGTGTGAGTGTGAGTGTGAGTGCGAGTGCGAGTGCGAGTGCGGGAGGGATATATATGATCCCCGCGGGGGCCAAGACAGCTGGCGTCCGAATAAGCGGGGTAACGGCTATGAAGACCATTTGACTTTGACCGTGGAAAACGGTCAACGATACCAACGGCTAGGTAATTTAACCGATTTCTTGATCTTCCGTAGTTTTAGGGATTTTTCTGATTTTATTTTGATAATATTTTGTTTACTTTAAAAAAAGGAAACATAAAGTTTTTTTTTTTTTTTTTTACATGCTGCTCAATGCTTTAAATATTATTAAAATAATTTTTTTAAAAAATAAATATTTAAAATGACAATTCAAACACGACACCACACGGAGTTAGTTCAAAGTTTCGACTAAAAAAGTTGAGTTATTTAAAAAATGAGAAGGGTTTGAAGGGAGAAGAGAAAAAGACGTGTAAAAATTAAAAAAAATGTCACATGAACTTGCAAAATACAAAAATTTAAGTGGGGATGTACTTGGTTTGGTTCGGTTGGGTTGAGGGATTTTTTTTTACCCAACCCAAAAGTTCGGGTTGGTTGGATTGGTAATTCAACCAAAAAATTTTACAATCCAACATCTATTTTCGGGTTGGATTGTCGGGATTAAAAAAATTTATTAATTAACAATTCATAATTATTCAATAGAATCTTAAAGAGAAAGTATTAAAGTACACAAACTAACACATATCAATCTATAATCATTAAAAATATATATATATATATCAGAACACTTATTATAATTGGTTCCTCTAAAAATAAAAACATGCATAATAAATATTTTTAGAATTTAAAATTACCTCTAATCTTTTATCCCTCCTTTCTATCCATCCAATTTCGTGTCTACAATTTTAGGTATCAAGCCCACAACCTACAAAAGTATTTCTAGCAACCACAAATTACCACTATGCCTCGTGAATATGCTTGACTTTTAGCGTATGCATTTTGTACCATTTATTTGGTTCGGGTCAACTCGAGGTTTTTGTCCTATGAATCCAAAACCGAATCGAGTCAGTTCGGGTTCAGGAAAAATAACCCAACCCAATCCAACTCTAAATACTAATTCATCTCAATCTAATCCCTGTAATTTCAGTTGGATTGGTCCGGATTGTCAGGTTACACTCTAGTCTTAATTAAGTACGACGAGGGCAGTACAAATTCTCATTGGAAATATTTTCTTGAGATGAAAGGCATTGGAAAGAAATAAGAAAAACAACCAAATGTTCATGTTTCTCGTAGAAGAACAAGTACTCTTCCTGCATTCTAATGTCCAAATTTGAAGGATCAATTGTGTATATCACAAGTTGTCCTCCATTGTGTTGTGCATAACGAGTGCAATCCGAGTAACTAACAAAGCTATTCAACTAATAGAGCAGGTTTTAATTCATACCAACAATAATCAGAAACTCAAACAACAAACTCACACCATAAGAACATTGAGAAGAGTAAAAATTCATCCTAGTATGATTGCCAAGCATAAAAATGGCTATAGGTAGGTCTGTTAGACGAACACGACTCTCTATAATGGTATGATATTGTCCACTTTGAGCATAAGCTCTCATGCCTTTGCTTTGGGTTTCCCGAAAAGGCATCATACCATGTGTTGTGCATAACAAAGACAATCCAAGTAACTAACAAAGCTATACAGCTAACAGAGCAGGTTTTAATTCATATCAACAATAATTATAAACTCAAACAACAAACTCACAGCATAAGAACATTGAAAAGAGTAAAAATTCATCCTAATATGATTGCCGAGCATGAAAATGGCTACAGTTGGATCATAGCTTAGTCCAATTCCTAGAAACCACTAGAGGAACAAGAAGAGATTGAAAGTACCTCTTCCGAAAGCCAACCATAACTATGGCGAGAGACAGAATGCATCATCGGAGTCATCAATGCCGAAGAAGTAGCAGAATGGAGCGGAACTTGAATCCTTCGCAGAAAGAAAAACATTACTACCTTATTTTCTACTCATATCTGTCAGTAGACGAACGTGACTCTCCACAATGGTATGATATTGTCTACTTTTTTAGTATAATCTCTCATGGCTTTGCTTTGAGATTCCCAAACAGCCTCACACCAATGGAGAGAGTATTCTTTTATTATAAACCCATGATCATTCCCTAACTTAGTCGATATAGGACTTTCATCATCTAACACCTCCCCTCGAACAAAGTACGCCTCCTCTTAATCGAGGCTCGACTCCTTTGGAGTCTTAGTCATTTTTTACTTTGCCTTCGAGAAGGCTTGACTCCTTTTCTTTTGGAGTCCTTTGTTTGACATTTGAGGATTTACCAATCTATTGGCACGACTAAGTTTAGGGCATGGCTCTAATACTATGTTAGACGAACACGACTCTCCCCCAAAGCAAAGCCACGAGAGCTTATGCTCAAAGTGAAAAATATCGTACCATTGCGGAGAGTCGTGTTCGTCTAACAATATCAACGTTTGTTTAGATCTATATCCGCACAAATACCCTATCTCGATCCTCAATCCTCGCACTTAACTCAACTCACACAGTTTTTATAGTTGATTTAGTTTGAACACGCTTCGTCGAAATCAAATGCTGTTGAGGAAATTACCTTACATACAGCACACTGAGAGAAAGATCGTTCGGAAGAAATGCGAAATGTTGAACGAGCCGAGCCCGCTCGGGCTCCGGCACTCAGAAGAGCCGTAGCCTTGCCGGAGGAGGATCGGAAAATGGCCCTAGCAGCGAAGGAAGCCATCGGCAAATATGAGGACGCGGCGAGAAATTCTGTGCAAGCCACAACGAACAGAGCTCCCGTCTTGGACTGGGAGCATTCATTGTCCAACCCAGCCGCCGCCGCGTCCCGAGAAATTTGGGGGTTTTCATTTCTTTCCCTTTTTTTCTTTTTTCTTTTTCTTTTTAAGATTAAATTAGTTTATTATAAATTTTCAATAGAAAAATAAATAAATAAACATTAAATTTAAAATATCCAATAACTTGTAATATATTGTTTAAAATTACTTATCGTTCAACATTTTTAGGTCCGATGATCAAATTTTCACATTTTATTCATTTATTTTCTCGATATCACCTCTCATTAAATTATGAATGGTATTTCAAACTATACTATAATTCACGAATAACATATGAAAGCTTTGTAGTCGTAAATCTAGGCCACTAGAAGGAGCTCTATACGTAACAGCAATATATAGGAGTTTCTCATAGAACGACGTGCTGATATGTAATTTGTATTGATCATTGGGAAGTCAAAACTCGAAACTAAAGCCAATCGACATCGTCTGAGTTGGGTATTACAGGGCCTAAATATAGTCAAAGAACTAAAATTTGATGAAGTTTAACACATTCATAAAGCTAAACAAGCTGAAAGCCAAAGGTTACTTTGGTATAGTTTAGCAAGATGTCGAGCTACTCGATCGACAATCAAGAATTTGTACAACACGGCAAAATTTTCACTCCTACGCTCGTTCAACTGTCGGTCGAAACCATGGGATGAGGGCAGGGTATTGGAAAACTCTCGAGAACTACTGATGCCTGAATCATAATGTTAAGAAACGTACCGATCAATCCTTTGAAGCTCACGAGTTTCTAATAACTGCAAGCAACCAGCAATGTCCCCTCCTCTCCTGGTTCGTAGTTAGTTTACTCAACTTCTTTGATAATTCTTCTTCTACGGAGTGGTACAGTTGAAATGCTCCCAGGAGCGCTGTGAGCTTTCCTCCTCTCAGCCTTCTTTCGTTCGGCATCGACAATAGTGCGACGGAGGGCAGCAGCTTTGAATATTGGTTTAGGTAAATGCCTATGCCTGCGATAACGAACCAAAAATCGTAGTTTCAAAACCCCTATCTAATACAGTTTATTACCCGAGTACAGCGTAGGAGATGGCACTTCACAATAGAAGAGAAACTGGGTGTATGTTATACATACACATGCTCATGGAAATATCGGATGCAGGTAGGAAAACAGATAATGAACGTCGACACGATTCTTACCTGACAATACGCTTAACCTCGGGAAGATGTTTATAACGATTCTTAACAGCCTCTTGATATTCATGCTTTCTCTTCTCCCTTGGAAGAAGCTGCAGCAACATCAATTCAATTTAAAAGAAAATCATGGCTTCTATCAACTGTTATTACATACGTTAACCATTACAACATCAAAAATTATGAAATACTATCACTTTAGACTAACATCATGTTCCACCTGATCAAGACAGTAGTTTTCATGCAAGCTTTTATAGAATAAAGTTGATGAATTAGTTCTTTTGGTAAAAATATTGGGTATTTTATCAAAAGAGAAACTGAAAAATAAACGCATCCAGATCGAACAAGTGCAGAACAGAGCAAAAATACAGATAGAAGATTTCTTACAACTCCTAATTGTTCAGATGCTTTAGCCTTCCAAAGCCGAAGGTTCGTGTCGTCACTCCCTGATATTACATAGCTTGCATCACAGCTGAACCTGACACAGAAGACCCTACAAATACCAAAAAGGAGAGAGTAACATCAGCGCAAAAGAATCAGTTGCTGTTCGTATTTGAGCAATCGCTTAAGTATTGAAACTAGTAGTACATTGGAAGGCTGCGATCAAATGATAAACCTATAAATAATGAATATGGATCAAACCTTTGCATTCTTTTGGTATGATAAATCTCACGGCTGTGACCCCCATTATACGGGAAAATTCTTATCTGCAGAATTAATACATGACAAGTTCAATAACATATTTTGGAAAACAATATATAAATGGCTGAAAATAACCGGGGGCTAGAACTCACTGTTCTATCATATGAGCCAGTAACAAATTCTCGACCACTCGGTGAAAAATCAATATCCATTCTGAAAACAAAAAGATGAATCTTCAGATGGGTTTTAATAAAGAATGAACAAAAATCACAAGTCAGTATCTTACACAGCAGATACATGATCTCTGTGCACACATTTTGCCTCGTCTAGTCTCCTAGAATCGTAGCTATAACAGTTGCAATCTTCATTTGCCTGCAATTCATAACATAAGAGGTGTCATGCTGACGGGAACGAAGAACAATTTCATACATACTAGATGGCTAAGAAATATAGATAACATTAAAAAGTCAAGACTAATTAGAAAAATCAATGATGATGTATGCTTTAATCTATTTAATATACATTAGAGCAAAGAAGATTTGATTAATCATAATGAATGCACAAGGATGTAAGTAGTATGAGCCAAAAAGCTGCTAAGACAACAACTTCAAGGAATAAGAATCTTAAAATGCTTACAGCAGTGAAGTTCATTGGCTCCCTTGGATTCCAACAAATGGAATTTGTCTTCGTCTGTCACAAGAAAGGTAACGATAAGAATACAAGAAACATAATAAAAGATCGTTTTCGCAAAGAAGTAACTCCTTTGACTAACCGCCACTATCATACCTGCATAATTATTTTCCTTACGGGGGATGACATGCGCAAATCATACAATGTAATGCTTCGATCACTACAAGACAAGACAAAGAACAACATAGAGGGATAAAACTATTATCATCATACAAAGTTGAAAATTTTCTGAAAGTAAACAAATTGGCAACACAGAAAATTCTACCGGATCTAATATCATTACTAGCTCAATATCTGTCCTGTTTTTTCTGATAGAGCTAGTTCAAAATTTCAAATTCACACTACTTGAATATTACAGTAGTAACTATTAAACAAAGCACAAAAAAGAACCAACTTTTTAATTGAATATTACAGTTTCCAGACATGGGAAAGTAAGATAAACATAAAGAAAAACTACCAAATGTAACTTTTAATCGGGCTAAAAATGCACAAAACTTATTAGTTTGAAATTCGTTTACGGTTAAGAATTTGACGTTTCAATTCCAGAACGAATGAAAAAGATTATTGCCTTAAACACCAGGAGATAGAGAAAGAATAGACCTAGTGCAAACTAAAAAGTGCATAACAAGCATTACGCATAGACCATTATTAAGTAAACTGGCATCTTTGCTCATACGAATAAAGAATGGCAGTTAGGCCACGACTGATCATGCATACCTAGCTGATGTTGCGAGGACATTGGGTTCTCCAGGATTGAAACGAACAGAGATAACTGAGTCTGTTCCCCACTCAAAACTGCTCACTGGTTGAGACCTATAACAAAATTTAAAAAATCCTCAATATATAACAAGAATAAAGGAAAGTACTGAATTAAATGAATGGCGATGGGTACCTGTTGTGATCCCAGATATTTAGTTGAGCACCAGCAGTGGCAAAAAGATTTCCATCCCATTGATGATCAACAGCCCTATAAATAAAAATTTTGGCTCAAATAAAAAGATAACTTGGATCGAAAGAAGGAAAGAAAAAACTTTCTAAAATTTAAAACTCACCAGAAAGCATTCTTCCAAACATAAACTGCCAGAGGCTGAATGTATGATTTTCAAGATGTTAGTCGGTAATAGTACAAAAAAATTCTTCAATGCAACGTGTAGATAATTCAATAACACACCTCAGATGAATTGTTTGAAGTTTCATAAGAATTCAGAGAGGGAATTGGGATATTCCATAGCCTGACACTAAAACAAACAACCGTAGAAAATTACAACAGTGCAACATTCTAAAGTACATAGAATATAATAATGGTGACTTACGTGCAATCTGTCCCACACGATATCAAGATGCGTCCATCTGAAGATGAAGTCAAGCCTCGAACAGCACCTTGATGTCCAGGAAACTGAAAAACCGTTCGCCTATATTGTATACGGGTTAGCATTTATTTTTGGATTTTTAATTACGGTGCTATATCTCTCTTTTAAATTTTTGAGTCACTATAAAAACAAAATTTCAAACACCAAAAGGTGGGAAGCATCACATTACCTGTTAGCAATATCCCATAGGCGAATATCTGTAGACAAAAAAACAAAAATAAAACAAAGCAAAGATAAAGTCAGATATAAAACAACTACTATGCATGACAAATTATATCATTGTTTGAATGCAGCAAGAGCAGTGCAGGACAATTAATCGATGGAGATTACTAAACTGCTTCAAATTAAAATGTATCGATGGAGATCACTACAGTATATAAAGAAAATCTCAATGGTGGAAATAGAAAATAACAAGCTACTGCACATTAAAATTTAAGATTCTAGTATAAGGTTCCAACAACTTTACAGTTGTTAACAAAAAAACCCACAAGATTTTTACAAACGAACATAAGGGAGGAAATTTTCTAAAATCTTCCAACCTAATCTCTGCCAACTTTACAAACACCAGACTAAAAACATCAAGTCATTAGCCTAGCAGCTGGAATATTGAAAATCTTACCTCCATCCATCGAACCGGAGAATATCCCTTTCAAATGATTAGGATTCTTCGCCATACATGAAACAGCGTCTAAATGCCCATCCATGGCTCCTATAAATGGTTTTGCAAACATCTAAAAGCAGAAGACAATTTAAGAAACTTTCGAAATTGCTACACAAATCAGCTCACGGAAACCATAGTTTCAAATCATATCATTACCCTGTCCAATTTCGCGGCATTAATAGCGCGAACATACTCAACCGCCTTCTCTTGCGTTCGGAGATTGGGGTCGAAGTTCCGAAACACCCTCTAATGCAAATAACACGATGTCGATTCATGTAGCAAGAAATAAATTTAACAAACGAAAAAAAGAAGTTCGCGTCGATTAATCACCTGAAGGTCTTGGCTTCGTTCTCGAGTGAATTCATCAGTGGAGCGGGATATTACCTTGACCTTCATTCTTGATAAAGGATGCAAGGGAGGACAGACGAGACAGACTAGGACCGAGAGAGAAACCCTAGATGTAGCAGAAGAAGAAGACGTTAAACCAATAATATTACTTATTATATTATAT